ACAATCTGATTCAACTATGCTTTCCTCCCAACACTTATCCTCACCCTTTAGATACCCGTCAAACAGTTTGGCCCCCTCTAAACGTAGAAAAAGGAAGGCCTCTGCGGAGGAGGCTCTTGACTAGATGGGGCCGGAAGAGCTTTCAAGCGAGATAGTTCCTCGGGCTTTTGATTTCAAAAGTGACTGCCTAGACAAAGACGGGAAGGCTGGTGAAAGTGGACAAATCCCTAGTGGAATAGGATCATCTTCCTCGAGTGAGGGCTGAATACAACTAGGATGACAAATTCGAAGTCGTTGTCATGGGCGATAGGGCCTGAATCACTCATCATGTTATGGGCATTTCCATGATCTTAACTTCACCATAGGCGTTGGGCTCCCTATCCCCAAAGTTATTGAGGCCTTCTGTCAATGATACCGGGTTTGTCTGGCATAATTGGCCCTCAGTTTTGGACGTTAGTTGCATGAATCCAATTCTTGCCTGATCAGGCCCGGGTAAACTTCACCCTAGATCATCTAATTCATCTTTACTCCTCTCAGTTATTCCAAGAAGGAATCATACACCTGATTGTATAGGGAACCTATGCCTTGATAAGAAGAGCTGAAGATGATTACAATCGGGGATGGTGTAACTAGTTCGTGAGGATCCCCACGCATCACCTACACCGGCCAACTTCTTAACAACTTTCAGAGGCATGGAGGTTTACACGTACGATTTTGCAAATTTTCTAGTTGTTTTTACAATCATAGTTGCTTATCTTTTTCAATGTTGATTCGTATTTACATCTAGTGTGGTCGTTATGTCCCTGTATCCGAGACCTTTAATTGAGTCGGGGACATTCTACGAGCCTCCAATCAGGATGACATGTCATAGAGGGGCATCTCTTTCGGCTAGTGGAAAGGAAAGAACCATGGTAACCGATCACGAGAGCATATTTAAGCAAGTTTTTTTTTCGGTACCCGTTTCCTTATCCTAGAGTATATATGTTTTGCAGGTCAACCCTAGAGAAGATCAACTGCTAGGGCACTCCCCTCATCCGAGTCCACTATTGCTCCTATCTGGGGCATAACTTCCGGGGTTCCCTCAAACTGAAAAAGGAGGGCTTGAGATTCTGATGCGCCCGCTACTGAATAGGTGCTGCAAATCTCAGTGCACGTCTCCCACATCATCATCGAATGACTGAGAGCTAGAAGGATGAGACGCCCAGGGTGATCAACATCGGCGAAAAGGAGGAGGAGGCCAGTGATATGGGAAGAGGTGAAGGTTTCCCCGGGCAACCTTAAAGTCACTGCAGATTTGGATGGATCCATATGAAGTGAGGACGGCATCCCAATTGTCGAGTTGGACGGGGTGTTGGAGCCAGTAAATGCGATCCTTCTCGAATCGACAATTGAGGCCAACTGGGAAACCACTTCTCGGGAGCTGTAATTTGAAGTGGGCCCCTCGAATCTTTCACCTCACCGGGCAAGCCCCGATGCTCATGATTTGAAATCTTCCTTCTTCTAACTAATTTCTCTTCTTCAGGTAATATAACATTTCTCTAATTTTATCCCTCTTTTATTTGGGAAACTTACTTCTCCGCTTCTTCTTATGTAGAGACATTCGCTCACCACAGCATCTATGTAGAGTGCAAAGAGATAGCCGGTGACACTAATTGGGGAATTTGAGTGTGTTGGGACTGAAGTCAACGAGTTTCGTGCAGCAAATTCCAAGCTTTGAGAGGATAATAAGTATAGTCAAACCTTATGGGCATTCATGTTGTTGCAGTTCGAGAAGGCCTAAAGGGAGCTATGGGAGCGAAAGGCAGATTTAGTCATTCTTGTAGAGTTTAACTGGAAACTTCGAGCAAAAAACCTTTCAAGGGTGAACGAGCATGCTCAAACTTCATTGGCAAATTTCGCTCTTCAGGAGAGGACGACCCAATTGTAGGCCAAGTTGAACGCATTCAAGGATCAGTGGCGTTGAGAGGAGGCTTTGAGAGTTGGTACAGAAAACTTCAGGTGCGCTGCCAAGATGACAAAGCAGCGACTGAGCTACACGCAAAATGGGTTAACCTCACAACCCATTTAGAGACTCTCTATGTGGTTCAAGGCGGCAACCTTGACCTTCCCCAGATGATAGTTGAGGCTGAAGCTAAGGGGTGCAACCTGAATTGGATGTACCTGGAGTAGGCATCTAAAAAGTTGATCAACTCGTGCCTGACATTCACGTTGATTGTTTGATCGATGTGGTACAAGGAGATGAGTCTTTCGGACATACTTTATTCAACTCTTTAAAATCAACGCACGTCTTAAACTTGTTGAGCTTTTTAGGAACTATGACTACGTTAGATAACCAATCTAGTTATCTTATTTCCCGGATTGACCCTATATAAAGTAATCTAGATACCTCCTCCTTGACAAACTGATTGCAATCGAAGGAAAGCTGTCACTTTTTCTACTTCACATAAGGGTGAACTGGGTCAAAGCTGAGCTTGTGGGTAACCAAATCTGACATAATATTTGTTATGTCTAAGTGGGACCAAGTAAAGCAATATATGTTAGCTTTCAAGAAATCTATGAATTTGAGTCTGAGTACAAGATTGAGGTCCGAACCCAAAAATAACTTTCTTTCCAGTTCGCCGGCTAAGAGGATGACTTCCTCCAGCTCTTTTGCCATTTATTTTGTGACATCGGTATCCTCCGGAGCTTTGAAAGTTATTGGGACATTAGGCTATTTTGATTCCTCTTCTTCGAGATCTCTCTCCCCAGCTAATACATCTCTGACCCGAGGTCGGTCAGAAGTACTCGTTGCAGTAATTGCTATAATCTGCCCCCACTCTGCTTTGTCCTGTTGCTATGACAAGAGCATGCATTTCTTGAGTCGCTAATGGCTCTCCTCGAATTTCCCTTATCCCCATGGAGTAGGAAACTTCACGACTTGGTGAAAAGTTGATGGGACCGCTTGCATGAGGTGGAGCCAAGGCCTTTCCAGGATGATATTGTAAGACATATCACCGGTCATGACATCGAGCATCGTATCTTGGACGATTACTCTGGCATAAATAGGCAATTTAATCTCCTCCCCGGATCATCTTGCTAGCCATGTTGAACCTGGCTAGCAGCTTTATGGTTGGAATTATCTTATCAACCAGCTGCATCTCCTCTATGAGCCGAAGTTGAATGATGTTGGTCGAACTACCTGGATCAATTAACACACACATTTTAGAATTTAAGACACGAAAGGATATCACCAGTGCATCATTATACAGATATGAAAGTGCATTGCAGTCGATGTTGCTGAAGGTGATTGAATCATGCACCGAGAACTCTCGGTCTCTCTTCCTAGAGGAGACGAAGACTTTGGTCTTTTTGGAGGCCGATTAGGTGACCCCGCTGACCGCTTCTCCAACAAAAATTAGGTAGATTGTTTATTTCGGCGATGGCGACATCCTTGGTTCCGCGCCATCCCAGTTCTTATTCAGGTGTTATGCATGGCTCAGTCACTGAGGAATTCCTTTAAATGCACAGCCCTAAAAAGTTGTGCCACTTCGGCTCATAATTACTTGCAGTCCCCAATCAAGTACCCATGAGTGTTGTGGAAATCACATCATAGGTTCTAATGTTTTCTGTCAGGGTTGGAATGCATCTCCCTTGGGAAGCTGGCTTTCGTGACATCTCTCAAGGTCGTGACAAGTTTCGCGGTCCCGATGCTGAAATTATATTTGGATAGCCTGATAAGTGGGAATATTGACTATTTATTAGCACCTTTTTACTTTTGTTTTAGTCCGAAAGTATTAATTTACGTTCTCGAAACTAATAAAATTGTACAAATCGCAGGATTGTTGGAAGTTTGGCCTACCATGATGAAATGCGACATAAAAAGGAGTGTTCCGAAGCACGGGGTATTAAAGGGTGCAGAGGCAAAGAAATGCGGTCCGCAGAAGAATTTTTGTGGCCGTAGAAGAAATTGCGGACCGCATAATTCCATCTGCGGCCGCAAACCAAGCAACAGAACCCAACAGGATTTTGACCAATGTGCGGACTGCACATGTATTGTGCGGCCGCAGAACATGGCTTTCATTGACAAAAAATCAAAGTTCAGAGAATATGCAAAAAGACCAAGTCCTGACTCCTTGCTGAAGTGCGGACCGCATAAGAATTGTGCAGCCGCAATCCAAAAATTGCGGCTGCAAAACCCACTCTCCTGCTAGCTGAAGAAATCTGCAGACCGCACATGGAATTGTGCGGCCGCAGAACCTCCTGAGGGGCATTTTTGTCAGCGAATTCTGGCCCACTATAAATAGACAAGTTTCATAATTTTAGGTCAAGTTTTGAAGTAGAAAGCTGCTGCAGCCGTTACCTTTTTTCATCTTAGGAAGTTTTTGATTATTTTAGTGTTTAACATTATATTTCATCAATTTAATCTTTGATTATGGGTTTTATTTGCATTTCTTCTTTATTTTCTTCAATACCCACTATGAGTAGCTAGATTTTTACTAGGGTTATAACCTAACCCTAGTATGTAAACCTTATGGGTATTTGATTTAATGCTTGTTTATAATTGGGTGTTGATTATTTAGCCTAGTTCATGCTTCAATTTTAGAATTAATGGTTGCAAACATTGATTCATGCCTTTTTGACTTAGTCTCTAGTTGAAAAAGAGGGACCTAGTCTAGGATAACTTGGCTAACGAGGAATTGGGTTAATTGAGAGTTCGATTAGCCTAATTAAAGGGTTCAAACTAGAGATAGTAAAAACCCGACTTGAGCTTTATATCAACTATTTGTTTTTATACCCATTTGGGCTTGAGAAAGCCAAATTGGGCAAAATCACTCTTTGACTAAGAGGTATTGAGTGAATAACGTAGAGTTGAGAGCTATAATACACCTCAATCAACAAAATATGTATTAACGTATTTAACTCATTAGGTAAACACCTAGGTGATGGTCACATCCCTAGGATTTTAAACTATTTGGAAAAACACCAAAAATAATCATTCATTTCTAGTTTCTTTTACTTAGCTTAAAATTGTTAGAGTAATAGTAGAAGTAGAAATCAAGACATTTTGTGAAAGTGCAAATTTAGTTAATCCACTCGCTTTCTTCAAGTATATACTCCTAACACCTCTTATAACTCCCTATGGATTCGATCCCGACTCATAGTTGGGTAATTTATATTGCATACGACTGTATCATATCTCTTATCGAGGTGTGTTGTGGACGTCATCATAGCCTCGGGGGCCTAGATCCCTTGGTGGTGGTTTGGAAGGCCCTGCCACATCTCTTTTAACCGTTCCCCGATTACTTCTGACCAGCTCTGGTCTTGCGATTGGTCCCTGTTATCGAAGGGCTGAGTAAGGTTCGAACCGGCCCCACATATTCCTCTGCCCAAATTTCGGTATACCTTTTAGCCTTTTCTGGAAGAGACTCCTTACTTCGTTCGGCACCGTGGCTCTAAGGCCATCTTCAATCTACATCTTGGATGTATACATGTGATTCACTTCATTTAAAGTTTTAGCAGGGAACTCCTTCAGGCTTTCTTTTAGCTTCCACGAACCGTCATACCTATTCGGTTTCATATCATCAGTAAATGCGGCTGCAGCCTAGTCCTCCGATATTGTAGGCAACATCATTATTTCTCGTTGGGATCTCTCCATAAAGCTTGAAGCAATTCCCCATCGCGTTGCTTTATTTTGAAGATGCATTTCATTTGGGTCTCAACCTTTTGAGCCCCAATATGAGCCTCTACAAAAACATCCGGAAGCATAGCAGAAGAGTCGATATAATGTTTAGGTAAAAATTTATACCAAGTTAAAGCTCCTTTTGTGATAGTATGGCCAAATTTCTTAAGCATGACGGATTCGATCTCGTCTAGCTGCAGATCATTTCCGTTGATGCCGGTTGTATAGGTTGTCATGTGCTCCTGCGGATCCGTGGTCCTATTATATCTTAGTACGTCTAGTATTTAGAACCTTTTTGGGACAAAAGATGAAGCCACACTTGGATTAAATGGCAGTTTCACGTGCTTTTTGGTGTCTACACCCCTGACAATCGTGGGGCCTCGAGTATCTAATCTATCCGGGCATGTATCTCCTGTACGAAACTGAGGAGCTTAGATCTATACATTTCTTTGACGTTTGCGTGGTTTTGGACCCGCTCATTTCGACCCTCGAACCACGAGGAACCTTTGCTTCTACCGCATTGGTTACAACATTCATTGGGGCCTCGGTAGTTAGGGCGCGGACGTTCTAGGACGAGTCTAGATCTTCTCCTGCGATACATCCTCGTTATCCTAGAATGATGTCGCTGACCTCTTCATGGGGCGTACTGTTCTCTCTGGTACCCGGTGTCATCTCACTTTTATCATTAGGAGACCCAACTTCAGTCGGAAGTCAGGTCTGATCTGCTTCATGTGAAGAGGACCGGTTGTCCTCCTACTCACGTTCTTCGAGGTGCGATGAATCCTGCATGTCCTTGGACACCTCTAGGCTTGGCAGGTTCACCAAAGACCTCAGTATGATTTGTTGATCATTTACGTGTGGGTTTTCACGTGGAGTCCTAGATCTGGACAAAATTTCTCGGTGGATAAGCTTTTGGTGGTTTAATAAAAGGCTTAAAGCATAAGGATCAAGAAGATATCACGGCTCCCTATCCCCACAAACGGAGTTAAACTGTTTATCGGGAAAAATAGATATCCAATGCAACAGTTATTTTGATAATAGGAGGGGTAAAAAACAAGTGAATCATGATCGATCCAAACCCTTTATATATATATANAAAGTTCAATAGTAAGCTTTGTATTTCTTGCAAGTGTTATAAAAATAGAGAATGAGAGAGATGTGTTACAAATTCCCCCCTGGATCCTCTCTCAGAAGGATGATAATGTTCATCTCTTTAGCTTCTCTGAGAAGCTATGAGAATGAGAGAGAGAGATGTGTTACAAATTCTTCCCTGGATCCTCTCTCAGATGGATGATTATGTTCATTTCTTTAGCTTCTCTGATAAGCTAATTATACAAGACAAGATAGGACCTTTTCGTGACAAGATTACTAAATATTGCAAAAAATAATTTTTGAACAGGCATTTCAGTTCTGGCTCGGAACTCGATGTTGGCTGACGGGTTGGTGAGCATGTGGTCCAGTTGAAAATGGGGTCATGACCAGGGAAAAGATCCATTGGGAACGGTGTTATTGCTCTATCGGTCAGGAGTGACTTTGATTATTTCGAGATGGCACCGTTGCCTTGAGATACTAGTGATAATAACTTTGAAGCCCCTAACAGGGGTCACCAACCGCGATACAGCTGAGTGTCAATTCTGACTGGGCCAAAGCTTCCACGTTCACATCCTCGTTAGTCCACCTAGCAGGCCCGAATTTTCACCCCATACAATGTTCCTGATTATCTAGTTTGGAAGGTAAGATGAGTATTAAAATAAGGTAATCACTGTCTTCACATGATCATTCACATGTATTCTTTAAGTTGACCTCATCTCAATTGCAACATCATTAATTTGTCACTTTTTACATGGCGATTATGAATTATATATCCGAACTTGTTTCTTTTCTTTCCATTTCATCATTCAAATCCACCTCGGCTTGGTTCATTATGGAGCCACACTTTTAACTTTTCACATTTCAATTTTTATATCCTTTAAGATTCAGAAAATATGGTGGACGAACTGGGATATTTCCATGAACAAAAGTAAAACCTATTATATGTATAATATTTTATACAACACGTTCTTCAACTTGCCAAGTTGCATTATATTTTTAATAAATCATATTAAAAAGTAATATTTTTTCCTCTAGCTTTGGACTCTACAATTGACAGAGAAGAATTGCAGGTTTTTGGGGACCTTATTAGCTTCTTTCGGCAAAAGGTTTTCGGTACTATATCGCATTTGTGGACTGCAAACATCATTGCTGACACACTTGATCAGGGTACTGATAAATATGGAACATTGTTGACAAGAAGTTCATTTATGTTACAAAGTGTATTTTAGAAGATAAAAATTACTGGATTCGATCTATGATCATACCTAATACTTTAGCTCCTTGGGCTTTCAATAATAGCATATTGACTTGAAGAAATAATTAAACCGGTCAATATTGTATTTGGCCATACTAGATAAAATCCTTTGAATGAAATTTTTCATTGTTATTCTAGATAAGGTCATTATTTCGTGCATTCGAATGTATTTACGCAGAAAACTCTTTGTTGGAATCCGTACCTTGAAAGTTTTGTAGCTGCTTTACGTGCTAGCTGAAGTGCTTGTCCTTGTTAAGTAGATTGCAAATTCTATTGAATGGAGCTGCCCATTTTAGATAAAACAGATCGAGACAAAAAGAATTGTTAGGAATACTGCAGAACTTATTGCCATTCTTAAAGTTCGTGTAATACAGCAGTTTCTGTTGTTCGTTTTCAAGCACGCACGATAAATAAGCTTATTTCATTTAGTTCTCCTTTATATTCCTAAAAGGCTATTTTTGTGTGGATATTGTTCAACCCAAAAATAGTTCCACGATAAAATAATTAAATTTATATTTAAATTGATTTAAATCAAAGCTTAGTCGAATGAATCATATGATTAGACTAAATGAACAATAAATTAAACGACAATAATAAGACAATTAAAGTAGACAAACAAAAGAAAGAATGGTTTTATTGAGCTTTTTTATAAATGAGCCACAATGCTACAAAGCAAAGATCGAATGCCCAACTTAACAAGAATGAAATACAATAGCTTTTAGTAATGAGTAAGCTGAGTAGAATCTAAATGAATTACAAGTGAGGGATGTAGGGGTATTTATAACTAAGTCTAATGTTAATATGCCTAGTTCCAATTCCGTATATCGTCCCTCTGGGTAGTTAGCAACCGACTCAGAGACGGATCCAGAATTTAAATTTTATGGGTTCAACTTTTAAAGTTATGAGTTCATATCTATTTTTTTGTAATTTTAATAAATTTTTACACATAAATTTTTACTCAGTATCAAAAGTTATGGGTTCAATTGAACCCGATAGTAATATACTACATCCGCCCCTGGCAACCGTCGAGGTACTCACCGGTTGTAAGTATCAGACGTAGTGGGTATTAGTGGATCCTGAATATTTCGAAGATGGTTGAAGACCAAGTAAGACGACAGAATCATCTTTGGAGTGCTTCACCCGACATTTTTCTCGTCTTCCCGGGAAGGAGTTACCGGATCAAAAATATTTCTCGCGGGGACAAAATTCCGTTGTTCGTGTATGCCCGAGATAAACCTATTCCAAACATCATTGTATCGTCATGTAAACTATTAACATGCCAAAGCTGGATTTTACCAATACAAATATATGCATATGTACAGGCACAGTATCTGCTCCGGGTAAAAAATAATAATCGGATGTGCTCATCCATCGTGAGATTTATCAAGATGCTTATCTTGCTCTTGTGAGATTAATATGATTCATTGTTTTTACTGATAGAGTAAAACAACAGTCTAAAGACATATCAAGAGTACAACACAAACGCTAGAAAGTAGTTTTAGTGTATCTTCTACATTATTGTAGAACATTTTTAGAATTAAATCCTCAATTGTATTAACTCCATCTAAAAAAATATATAAAAAAAATAAATTTAAATGTACGAGTACCAGCTAGTTTTATGTATTATGGTTAACTTTTCGCTAAAGGGAAAGAAATAAGCAGCAGTAATATGAAGTTGACTGAAAAACTCTTGGAATTTATAATACAACGCACACTCGTTGAACACTGTAGGAACAAACTATATACAAGTTGCACCTTCACTTTAGACGAAAATAATCATTACATTACATAGCCGTCAAAATTGTAATCCGTAGTTAAGCGATTAAATTAATAAAAATACTAGTGTATATTCGAGCTGTAAAGAGCTTTCATATTTTCTTCTTTTAGAGCTTTCATATTCTCTTCTTTTACTTTTATTCTTTTTGTTGCAAAAGCTTAGACTTTTGACTAATGCATTTATACACACATTTAACAAGGTTTAATTCTTTAATTTGCATTTTGTTTAGTGACAAACTTGAATTCGGTAGACATTTGTGTGTAAATCAAGTAAACCTTATTCCTCAAGAACGAATTGTCGGCAAAATTCCAGTTTTTGACTATTTGTATTGATGCTGCTGCTATGCATACATCTAAACAAACCAGGAGCCTAGACTGAAAAGAATTAGTATTTTATTAGTACTAATTAGTATGCGACAAATACCAAGTTACGTAAAAGACGTAGCTAAATATAGTTACTAAGAGATGTCTGAAAAGGTGAAAGGCCAGCTAATTAATTTTGGGTTTATAAAAGGTTCATTTGTCTTTATGTTCTTGGTTTATCTAATTAAAAAGGTAAAATGAGGACTAAAATATAATAATTAGGGTTATAACAATGAAGTTAATCAATCATCTTCACGTGATTACTCACATGCATTCTCGTTAAGCATTGACCTCATCTCAATTACAGAAACATCGAACATCTCAATTAAACAGGCGGATTCAGGATTTAAATTTTATGGGTTCAATTTTAAGGATTTTTAACATTGAACCTATTATATTTTTAAAGTTATGAGTTCATATCTACTATTTTTACAATTTCTATAATTTTTTACATTAAAATTTTTACTCCGCATAAAAAGTTATGAGTTCAGTTGAACCCGAACATAGTATACTACATCCGCCTCTGACTTTGTACATGGCTATTATTCAATTATCCAAATTTTTGGTTCACTTTTTTTTTCTCCATTTCATCGTTAAAATTCATCTCGGCGTTTCTCTAACTTCTCATATTTCAATTTGTATATCCTTCGAAATTCAGGTAATTGTGAAAGGATGTTACCTTTACTCTTTTTTTTTCTTTAGAATTTAGAGCCTATAACATTGGCGCCTAAAAAGATGCACTATCAAGTATCAAATCACTTAAATTACTACACCGATCAAAAGTAAGATTAATAATCTCTGATAAACAAATTAACATATATAAACCGTATAAAAATTTCTTACACTATCAATATATATAAGTTACCGAAATAAATGAAGACTGTTATATTAATTTGCATTATCGGATAATTCAGTTACTGTATAAGAGAGATTATTGAACATTGATATCAAAATTGATAGATGATAAATTTGTCAAATATTGTATAAAATGGAAAATAAAATACTATACAAAAACACTCAAGATTTATAAGCCTTGAACATTTGCCCAAAAATAAGTTTCTTGACCATTCCCTAAGTAGTGAACTTCCTAGTTCACTACTAACATACCAAAGTTCTAAATTTTCAAGGAACAACAGATCTATAACTTGTTAGTATGTAATTTGTTTTTCTTTTCTTTTTTACATTATAAAAAAAAAAAAATATCATGATTTCAAAGGACTGCCACTTGAACTAGAAACCCCAATTTGCCACACTTTAATTTCTCCGTCAAAACTTCCACTAAACAACTTCACAGAACCACCGTCAGATTCACTGGTTTCCGCGGCCGCCACCAATGACCTCACCGGTGTCCGATGACCATCTAGAACCGTTAAACAACAGAACTGTCCTTCAATACCACGTGTCCAAATCCTCACCGTCCGATCCGCCGATCCACTGAACAACAAATCAGAGACGTTGATCAAACATAGTATCGCTTTCGTATGACCTCTCAATGCACCAGTAATCACCATGTAATTAGCACTGTCTTCCCTTTCCCATACCAATATCGACCTATCACACGCGCCTGAAAATAGAACAGAACAATCAGAGCTTAATGCTAATGCATTCACCGCCGATTTATGTTTCTCTAATGTAGCAATCAAACCATGTTTTGAATTTTTCTCCCCATATGGTTTACCCCAAACTCGAATCCGTTTATCAGCAGAACCTGTAAAAATCGTCCCATCTTTACCTACCACAACAGCGTTTATGGCATCATCATGTGCTCTAATTGATTCAGTGCACCGTAAATCTGACCCGCTCCAAATTTTCAAAGACCTATCCCACGAAATAGAGCACATTAATTTTTCATTAACTGCTAATCCAGAAACAGCATCGTGATGTTCGATCCATAGCTTCTTCTTATGTCTTCTTACATTTGTATAGCTGCTAGGGAAAACGAATCTGCGTAACCGGTCTTCAAGTGTTGGGAGTATCGCCATTAGTTTATGCTGCTTAACTGGTGTCAGTTTCCACACCCGGATTTTACAGTCCTGATGGGCGGTGAAAATTTTACCATTAAGAAAAGCCACTGATTTTATCGAGCCGCTAGAAGGGTCTTTGCCGTTGAAAGTGTCGATGAGCGTGAAATTCGTGAGTTCGAAGACATTGATTTCATTGGAGGAAGCAGCGTAAAGGAGATTGTTGTGGACAGCGAGGAAAGTGACATGGGTGTTTCGGGGATTAAGAGAATTCAGGCAGCGAGCTGAGATTACAAGGTTTAAGGTACCGGTGGAGAGATTTTGGAGAGAAGGGACAGAAGGTAAGGTTAAAAGGGAGAGGTTGCTTTGTAAGCTACCAAGGGAATTGTTTGTTGCTTGAGAAATTACTGATATAGGTGAACTGTTGGTTATGTCGGAAAATAAACTGCTTGCATCGTCGGAGAATGGGAGTTTTGGAGGCGGAATAGGGTGGTCGTCGGCGGTGGTGACGGAGGAGGAGCAAGTTGCAAGCCAAGATCGGAATTTCATTGTGCCGGCTAAACAGTGAAGAGAAATTGGTATAGAATAAGCAAAGAATGTGTGTGTATTAACTCTGTGTGTGTGTGTTTTAGAAAGAGGTGGAAATATATAGAGTCTTGACTTGGACTTATGGGAGTTGTGGTTGGTTGTCTTTTTCCTATTTCTCTCTATCTTCTAACTTGCCAGTTGCCATCTCTTTGTCCCACTTTCTTGTTCAAAATATTTTCATTATTTAAAATTCAACAAGTTGCAAATGGGAGTACTCCATTGTTCATGTTATTCTTGATTATTTAACTTTTTATTATTATTAAAATGAATTAGTCTAATGGAGTATAATTTTTGTTTATGAATTGAAAATGTAATCATAGACATTTAACATAAAACTTCTTCAAGTTGCGCATATACGGCACTATTTTAGCTTTTCATTTCAAGAGAGTGGGACCAGATGCAATTAACATGACCACACATTTAAATTTTGTGTATCACACAACAGTTCTATGGGAGTTTTGGTGTGTAGTTTAGTATAAATAT